ACTCCAGCTTGGGCCATTTGTTCATCGAACTCCCAAACGGTGAATCTGTGCCTTAACTCGCCGGAGGTGAATGCATTATTCCCCCCTAATCATATGATGCCCACTGGGATAACAGGCAGGGTGGTGAAGGGTAAGCTGGTACGCGATATAGTGTTTTGGGGAAAAGCACAAGTTTGTAGCAACTTTAACGCTGGCACTTGCGGATACAGTGCCTGCAGACTACTTCATGTCTGCTCCCAATGTTTCCGGGCTCACTCTAAAGTAGTGTGTTCAAATAAATTATATCCTAAGCAGTACCTTTTGTCTCTTAATGTCTCCCTGCTGAAAGAGTTATTGTGTGGTCACCCATTTCAACATCTCGTAGAATTTTTGGTGGCAGGGTTTACTTTGGGGTTTCACACAGGTATTATTCATATGCCTACTGGAATCCTAGAATGTAAAAACTTACAGACAGCCCAGGCATCTCCTGACACAATTGACCTACTTCTCCAGAAAGAAATTGACCAAGGGTTCTTAATTGGCCCCTTTCGACTCCCCCCGCCTTTTGTGATTTGGAGAACTAACCCCATAGGACTGGTCACAAGTAAATCCTCCAATAAGCAAAGGTTGATTCTTGACCTCTCTGCTCCCCATGCATCACCTAACCCAAGTCTTAACTCGCTTATTCCATCACTAGAATTTTCTCTCCAATATGCTATCATAGATAACGCCGTCATTGCCATCCTCTCGGCTGGGGTGGGGGCATGGCTTAGCAAAACGGATATAGTGAACGCTTTTAAATTACTCCCTATCCATCCATCCCTGTGGCATTTACATGGTGTTAAGTGGCATGGTTCATATTATTTTTTCACGCGTCTCACGTTTGGTTCTAAGAGCAGCCCCAGGATTTTTGATATATTTGCTGAGACGTTGTGCTGGATGCTGCTTAACATCTGTATCACCATTATCCATTACCTAGATGATTTTCTGACCATAGAAAGTAACCTGTTACCTCCCAGTAGCCTCCTTTCTATAACACAACTGTTCACACAACTAGGAGTACCTATTTCACCAACAAAGACAGAAGGTCCGGATACGATCATCAACTTCTTGGGGGTTGTGCTGGACTCTGTACATATGCAGGCTAGCCTCCCCGGGGAGAAGACTTAATGCGTCCTTTCAGCCATTGACCATTACCTAGCAAGGTTTTGCCGCAATTTTTGGCAATGAATGGATGTGGGGCAAATGGCCTGGGGAAATTACTGAGATCCCCGAGTTCAAGGACACCTCTGCGTTATTTGAGCTTTACCCAATTGTGGCAGCAGCAGTTAAATAGGGAGCTTGCTGGTCTGGGAATACGGTGCATTGCTTCTCGGACAACATGGCAACGCGCCATATTGTAAACAAGGGACGTTCCTCTTCCCTGGTCATCATGCGATTTATGAGTACTCTCACGTTGCTAGCTGCAAAACACAGTTTTCTCTTAACTTGCATACACGTGCCTGGGGTTCTGAATATCGCTGCTATTCATTTATCGCAATTTCAGGAGTTCCCGGGCGGCACTACCAACAGCTACCCTGATACTAACTCCGGTACCGCGGTGGCAGGAGATGGTTTGGGACTAAAGGAACTACTCAATCATGGGTATCACCTCTCTCAACTTGGTCTTTCTGATAACACCAGGAAGGCATATGGCAGGGCTTTTCATATTTTTATTAGATTCTTGCTGGACTTTAATATCACAGACCAATTTTCCTTGGAAACAATGATCGCATTCATTTCCTTTTGCCACCTTCACCTAACCATCTTCAACACCATTAAATTATATATCATAGACAAAGCTTTCTGTCATCTTACCAGGTGAAAGCCATACTTAAAAGGTATCAAAGACTCCACCCCTACACCCACACCATCCAGATTATCCATCCACGATCTATTGTTCCAGTCTCTGTCAAACCTGTTAGACACTTCACCATTTGAAACTCATACTAATCAATTCATTAAAACAGCCATCTATTTAGCTTTTTACGGTTTTCTTCGGCCCAAAGAATTTACCACCGCTAACTACAACTCCCCCAACTTCATCACAAGGTCAAACCTGGTAAAATCACATGATCATTATTTACTGTCCCTACACCATACAAAAACTAGCGCCAAAGGACAGATGGTCACTATTACCTATTACCCCACTAGTAATAAATGGTGCCCTGTAGAAGTTTTAGACCAATACCTCTCCTTCTTTGCAATGGCTTCAACACAACCACTGCTAGGCTTACACGGTAATATGCTCACTACGAGTAAGTTCATGCTCTATGTAAGAATGTTGTTAGTTCGGTTAGGCTTGAACCCAGCCGAGTATTCAGGTCACTCATTTAGAATAGGAGCAGCTACTACCACTTCTAAAAGGAATATCCCTGCGCACATCATTAAAATATTGGGCCGGTGGAAGTCCACGGCTTACACCAGATACATTCCTCAGCCAGTACAAGAGGTGCGCCTAGCATTTAAGAATATGATTATGTGATATACTATGGTGTATTGTAGGCTGAATAAACTGGTTACATCTTTTTGCCCTCTTTTATTTCAGGCCTACTACCTTGTCAGTTCCTGCACACCACAATTGACCTTTCCATCCCCTGTTTGTCTTATGTTACTAATGCTACGGCTTTATGCCCTGACCACAAATGGAAGGCGGGGCCTGAAGTTGTGGGAGGGGCTTGGTTCCCCTTCTTAAGGAGCACCAGCCCTTCCCTTACTACCGTCTTAGGTCTGGGAAGTTGTCCCACCCACCACACCTCCTTTTATAAGCATATATTTTTATATATATATATATATATATATATATATATATATCTATTTGTGTATGGCACATTTCGAGGATGTAAGGAAACAAATAATAAAAAAGAAACAGTATTAGAAAGAGCAAAGTCAGCTGAGGTGTGCCGAAACTGACGTGAGTTTAGACCTGTAAAAGAGGGCCCACCAAGGTGAAATGATGTATAAATTGAGGGTGCAGTGGGAGGGGCACTTCTGGAAATGTCGCTGACAGGTGAGTAGGGGCTCACAGGGTTTAAGTAGGGAAAAATTGTACCTCCCACAATTACAGGCCAAGCCTTCTATATATATATATATTTTGGATATTGTATTTTTGTAATTATGTATCCTATTGTAACAATGCAATGTTTTGTGGACAAAGACCCAGGACATACTTGAAAACGAGAGCAATCTCAATGTATCCATCCTGGTAAAATATTTTATAAATAAATATATAACCAGTGATCAAACCTCCCACCTCCTGAATGCTAAAATACAGCCATGATGTAGAGAGATAGAATGGAAAGCTGGTAAAAAGATCCAGTGATGGAACATGTCGGAGGTTTTAAGGGCTACATTTATTTTAGAATTGCTTTGCAGAGTACACGAGTGTACATATTTCTCTGGGGGAAGGGGGGAAACCATGTATCTCTGGGAGTTATTTAATAAGCTGAGTGTTATGAAGAATTGACAAGGGAATTTCAAATTTTAAACAAAAACAGCCAACGGAAAAATAAATCACTTATTTTTCAAGCTCAGCTATTCTGCTTCAAATGTGTAAATCCCTTGTCAGTTCTCCACAGTCCCTGATTAAGAGAATAATTGTGTGTGATTTAAACAAAGTCTGATCCCTGATATGGCTCATGAGAATTAAATGGGTGTGGTTTTGTTAAAAGCCAATGAAAATCAATAGAAAGCACATTTTACGATTTGCATAACACATCATATTATGAAAAGGTTGCATTAACTTGGGTCACTTCTGTAAACATACATGTCTATATGTCATCTTCATACCCTATTGATCTGTGGCTCAATAAAATGTTCAGAATGCATCTATCAAGTGGCCCAGTGACAAGCCTTCCTTCTCCATATTTCACAAATGTTAACCTCTGGTGTGACTTTTTATACCTACATTATATGTATAAAATTGAATTTTCCTGATCAACCCCAAAATATAAATGATTTCACACGCACAACCTTAACCAATTTCCTCACATCTTTATCTCTCTATAAAAACACTGCATTGTGACTGTGTCTTTAAAAAAAAAAATGAAACAAAATAAACTATATATATATATATAAATCTAATTTTTTTTTTAAATAAAATAATAATAACTATATGGTAAGACACTTTCAGTGTTATATGTGTGGCATTTGGGGTGGTTTTAACCCTTTCAGGGACAAGGCATTGTTTATATTTTACTCATCCCTTGGGTGCTGAAAGGGCTAATATTAGCTACTAGAGTACCCAGTGGTGCCCACCTACCCTGCTGTTGAATGAGGCTTGTTCCTGGGTTCCAGGTTAACCCATTGGATCCCAGTGTAAATTCACTGATGATAATTTATTTGTTCATTATGAGCAGAAGGTTTATGCATCAACATGCAGTATGATGACCACTTACAGTTTAATGCTGAATCATTCTTTTTTGTCCAATTTCCATAGCACAACATACCAGCATATTAATCACTCAGCCCAAAATAAAAAAATAAATTAAACAAATCAGCCACAATGAATGAGTCCATTGCAGCCTGCATGTGCCTGAGCTCTTGGTGTGTCTGATTACTATCAGAAAATGCTGCTTTTTTTGCAGTTTGCCATACAAGCAAATCCCTTGCAAAAAACTGCTTTTTAAACATAATCAGAGCTAAAACCAGCAGCTTTATCCCATGCAATTATTAAATGGCAGTGTACATAACAGCTTATGCATTTGGAAAGACATAGAATCTGACACAAGAAGGAGATACCCTTAAAACCAAAAAAAAAACTGTTATCTGCATTGTGCAATGCTTCACTTTACAAATGTATTTCCCTGTTGTGTTAAATGGCTCTTACTAAGTAATAGAGGTGATTTATGTAGAGAGAAGGGGTGTAGATGCTAGATTCTGTGATTAATCAGTGAATCCCTTTCTCTCAGGCAGCTCACTGCCCCTCTTGTGTGATGTAAGATCAGGCGTACTCTGCATTGAAAAGTCAAGACACACACAGACTCTCACATACATACACACACCTACAAATCCTGCTGGAAGCAGGGAGAAGGCTGGCTCATTTAACAGAAGAATTTTCCATTGACATTTGTAAATTACACTAGATTCAAGGCTCACCGCTGACTTACTGAGTGTGCAGTAAGGCAATCAAAGGCTTTCACACTGCAACAATGTCTGAGTTTATTCTTGCCTTGGTGACAATATCAGGGTTATTTCCCATTGCTAAGGTGCTGGCTGCTGGATCTGAAGGAGGTAAGGAGTCTTCATTTACTGGCATAACTTGGAAACTTAACGTTCAAGCAGAGGGGAAGATGCTCTCTTGCAAGTGTGGTACCCCATTTTGTGAGGGATGCTGTGGTTTTGTTTCTCTGTAGATACTAGGATTGCTGGTAAAAGTACAGACACAGAATCCAGTCAGTGTATAACTGAATGCAGAGAGAGATTTAGAAAGCATTTCAATCTTTAATAAATATGGGTGTTTATAGCAATGTAATGGGCATGTTTGCAGTCTGTTATTTGTACATGCAATGCTGAAATGGAGCATTTTAAGGCTATTATGACTGATTTTTGTCCAGTATTATTTTATTTTTTTAATCCTCTGCTAGTGCTGTCCTGCTTTCTTAATTTTGTTCTGCTATCATTGGGTTTCACATGTAGATGGTAGTAAATGCTTGGGGGAAAAGGTGAATTGTTATTGTTTTGTGCAGCTTTTAGATAAATGCTTGCACTTAAAGCAGTATTACTCCACAACAATAGGTCATAAACTTCTTCCTGTGCATGCAAGAAAAAACGCTCATCATTGTGATTCTGTATTGCAAGGGATGCATTTAAGGTTATCGTCTACAGTATCACCATTAACACTCTCAGTGCTGGAATACAATTTAAAGTAAAGGGTTCTATAGGACTCTGGCTTTCATTGGGTTAATACTGACTGCCTTCCACTGTCTGTACACTGCCCATCAGGATATAGCTTTGTTTATAAAGGGAATGTGGTCCTTTTTCAGACTGGTAACTTTTCAACCATTGACCTACTACAGTGACATGTATTGAAAACCCCAATGTTTATGTAGAATTGGTCCAGTATCTTCTACATGGTGTGTTTTTGCTGTAAGTTGCTGTAACATTGTATCACTGTGTGTCATTGTGAGATGCAGGATGGGAAGGCAATGTATATAGCACCAGCTGGAGGTCTCATAAGGGCACGTTACAATAATCATAATACATGCATGTCTAATGTACTGGATTTTGGCATATGTTGCACCTTATGTTATGACTGTTGGAGCCGGGTAACCGACACAGACTTTTATATTGTTAATGAAGAAATATTTATAAGCAGGGAATACATTAGGGCTGTTGACACTGGGGAGGTGAGAGAGAGAGAGAGAGAGAGAGATGGATTTATGGATAGATAGATAGATAGATAGACAGACAGACTGACTCCAGTAGGTATGTACACACAAACACTACATAGTAATACAGCCCATTTTTCTGTGAATGAACTTATAACCTCACTATACAAAATGTGGGCTTCTACCTACCAACATTCTAAATAAATATATGTGCTATCAACAAATGAAAATCTAGTATATCTAACGGCAGAAGGGTGAGCATTCATCACTCTTTTATAGAAGACAATATATGATTTTTGAAGCGTAAAATAGATTTATGTGTATATAAATACATTATTGTTTTATAATGTGTATATAAAAATACATTATTGACTGAGCCTTGCCCTTGACATTTGAGACTTTTTTTAAAGAAGACTGACCCATCAACCACCAAGGACATCATAACTAAAAGACAGGACCTTGATTATGAAGTATTGGACATTCCTCTTTTTGCTGTTGTTCTGTAGGGGAAACAGGACTTCAGCTCCCCTCTTCATGCACCATATGGTATGAGAGTTATTTCTGGAAGGACGAATATTTCATTTATGTCATAGGTGGTCTTGACCCAATACACATACTTGGTCAAAGTATGTTCAAACATTTTTAGAGAGAAGTGTTGTTTCCTAGGTAATCAGTATAAATGCTTTGTAGAGAAATCCATTTCAGGAGAATGCTGTCCTACTTGTTCTGCAGTGAGTGGAACTTGTTCCAATATACTTGATTTTAAGAAAGGATTCAGCATTTGTATATATCTGTTGGCACACAGTAATATACAGGATTGCATTGTCCTGCTTTTTATATGTCATCATGCAGCATTCATCTTAAATTTAGCCATATTTCCTGAAAGTTTTATGCATCATTTATCAGATAGCTAAATCGGCACAGTTTGTGCCATTTCATACGTAAAAGACCCAAATGATAACATCCGTAAGATTTATGTAGAGCGATATGAACACAGGTGCTGAATTTCTACATAAATTAATATAATTAAAAGATGATGCAAACTGTATATATTTCTCTTTAACAACTGTACACGATACAAGATTAATGAGCTCTTTGGTATCTTATGACACTTTGAAAAATATGCTTCTCAGAAATGGTGTTTTTATACAGAGGTTATGATCTTTGCTTGCAATTAGTTTGTGTACAGCAAATGTTAGCTTATTTGAATGGCCCTACCACCTTCATAAATTAAGATTAACCACTAAAAATAACATTAATAAAAAAAAATAATAATAAACTAAATCTACCTTTTAAACGACATAATGTTCTTAATATAATGGCACCACCAAAATAATTAAGATAGTTATTGTTAACTAGGTATGACGCCAATGTATTTGTTTTAGTTAGAACTAATGACTAATCTTTCATATCTAATAACCAATTTGGGCACCTACACAGTGCAGAGAATTCTTTGGCACTGAATTTCTTATTACTGTTGATAAAAGGGTTAAACTTTTGAGAAATCATTGGCCATGCTGATATTTTCAAAGCTTGGGGGTTGGGTGACAGATAGTTTTCTTGTATTGTTAAGAAAACAAGTGTTAGACTGTGGTGGACTCAAATTTCAGAAATAATTTAGTTAATGAAGGAAAGAGGTTTTGAACACAATGCAAACTCCTAAACAGATTTACATTTAGCACGATGTGACTCTCTGTGTGAGTCAGTTTTCTAGCATTTTAGATACTGCATGCATTATTGTACATTCCTTTCTAGTAACAATTTTGAAGAAGGCTCACTTTGAGATTCGACATGCAATAGTTAAAATTACTTGTAAAGGGGCTATGAATACTTTTAAACGTATTATTGAAAGTATTGTCATTTACAGAGGGCATTTTAATAAATTTGGTTTTTCTACCTAGAGTCAATGCTGGATACACTTCCATTATTTAAAGAGAGGGGGCGCTAGCTTAATGTTAGTAGAAGTGTGAATTTAAACCTGTATATTTCTTTAGTGTTGAAGAGAAGATATATCATGGTAAAACAGTTGTTTTTTTCCCACTTATACTAAGGACTCAGTTAGAACAAAAAAAATTTTTTCAACATTTTTTTAAAAAGTACTACATTGTTACTAAATACAATTGGAAAATCTAGAGCAGGGAGTCTGGCAAACAAGGAAGATCTTTATGCCTAAAAAGAATAATGTATACTTGTGGGTTATTAAAAATAATAATTTATTGTTTTATTTCATTTTTATTTAGTTGGATAACGGACATTGGGATGCATTAATTGGATTTTATTTCATAGCTCTATATCGCAACATAAGTTCTTATTTTGCCCGTCATATACTACTCTTTTCAATATAGATAAGCAGTGGTGTAAGGCAATTAAACATAAACTTGGAAAGAAAAACACACAGGGAAATATTAATTAAACTGCATCTTGTGGTGAGTTAACAGACTTGAAACATTACAATAAAAAATAGTAGCTTGTGCATAATTTATTAGACATTTAAAGAATCCTAGATTACAATGGAATGGCGTTAATGTTAATACACAATTTTTAGAGCTTGCTGTCCTTAGAACATCCATGACATGTTGTAGATGTTGGTAGTTGGATATTCAAGCTGAAGCTATTGCATATATAGTGCATTATGGGATGAAAGAGCACAAAGGGCTTTTAAAATACAAACAGCTAAGGTGGTAGTAGTAAGGGTCGAAAAAAAAATACTCAAGTCACTCAATTTTAACTGTTTGCACATGTACATGCCATCCTTTTTGCCCATGTTACCTTTTTAATATTGTTTTCCTTAATAAAAAAAGGCATATATTAAAAGTATGCAACTATATAAAAAAAAATTCTCTTAGGAGTGATATTTTAACTTGAAAGAGAAAATGACTTTTTTTTTTTAAATGTTATATTTTTCACAGAGAACCCCTGGATTCCATTCTTTTATGCACATGTACCTTTGAGAGGCTATTTCTCATTCATAAGCTCCGGGTTAAGAGACCATTGAGCAAAACATGAGAATAGAATCCCTTCAGATATTTATAATGTAATTGAACTAAGACAAGTGTGCAGGCAAATTCATTCGTCCCTTGGAGAAAGTATGTCACATTGAGATGTAATTTCGTACGCTTGGTTGTATATCCTGAGCTATTTAGAGGGGACTGAGGTTCCATGTTGCTTGTTGCTCATGCTTTATATTAGAAAGTCAGAAGTGTTTAACTAGAAGTCTTGATATCAAATCAAGTATATTGAGATATGTTAATAAAATAGATGGATAAATGATAGATAGATAGATAGATAGATAGATAGATAGATAGATCTCCAGCTAAGCTATTGTCATGTCCCAATCATCATGTCCCAATCATCCAGAAAGGAATTGTAATTTGGCAACCAATATTAAGAAGATTGTGTATTTATTGCATAGTTGTGCTATATGGACAATATGCTCAATAATTAATGGAATTATATATTAGTGATTGTAATAGAGCGTGGATTCAAAACATAATAAAACATACTATGCAATGCCTTAATACAATTCCCATTCATCCTTCTCTAATATCAGACTTGTTCTTGAACTAGCTAGAAATAGAGATTAAATATTGAGATGCTATGAACTTTATGACACATCATGCAAATGTAACATATTTGACCTTAAATAGAATATCTCTTTATTTGAACCAAGGACATTAATTTACTCTACTTGATCTGATGGTTTCCAAAGAATTCAACAGCAGGATCCCTTTGCTAATACCATAAATAAATATATTATGCGCAACCTAGCCTTTATTGTTCTGCCTCCTTTAATTACTCAACATGTTTGCATTTTTCTATAAACACTCATTCAAGGCATAGCAATGAAAATTAACATTCATTAAGTTATTATTATATTTAATGAGAATAGTGACATTCAGGATATGTTCATACTTTGAAGCACATTAGTGTCTGCATTATTTGTGATGTTAGTTCAG